TAGCTTAGCTGGAGGCTGTATCAGTGGCTGAGCCTAATGGCAACCGGCAGGCTGAGGCAGATTTTGGGGTGCTTTGTGCCTTTTGTGTCCTGACGCAGGTTTGGTATTGCTGGGAATCAGCCTCAGTATGCAGCTTGCATCTTGGCCCCTCCCATGTGCATCCAGGCCTACCAGAGGGAGCCACCAACCATCGAGCACTTTGAAGCTTCTAACAGGCAGGCCAGGATTGGTCACAGGCAGTGTCTGACCTTGACCTGCACCACAGTGCCTCCCTGGAGGACCCAGAACCAGCCCACAGCAGAGTTCAACCAATTAGCTCCACAAGCGGCACACTGAAAGGGAAATATCTGCAGGCACCAGACCTTCCTGGGGCAAATTCTGCTTCATGGGGTCAGCCTACTCACAGCAGCTCATACAGTGTGATCAGGTCAATACTCACAGTCAGTCAGCTTGAGGGTCAACCCTACTTACCACAGGCCAACAACAATCAAGACTCAACTATAATAGCCGGGTTCGCAGAACCCACACCAGGGACATTCCGGGGGCACCCAGCTTAGGGAATCAGGGAGACTGCACCACTGAGCTCCACAGGACGTGTACTCAAAAAGCCACCCTACCAAGACTGGGGGACATAGCAGATTTACCTAACACAGAGAAACAAATACAGAGAGGCGGCCAAAATGAGGAGACAAAGAAGCATGCCCCAAAAGAAAGAACAGGAGAAACCCCCAGAAAAAGAACTAAATGCAATGGAAACAAGCAATGTACCAGATACAGAGTTCAAAACAATGGTCCTAAGGGTGCTCAAGGAACAAAGGGGAAGGGTTGATGAACTCAGTGAGGACTGCAATAAAGAGACAGTAAGCATAAAAAAAGACATAGAAACCATAAGAGAAAATAGTCAGAAATTAAAAATATGAGATCTGAAATAAATACACTAGAAGTAATCAATAACAGATTCCATAAAGCACAAAATCAAATCAACAATTTAATTGACAAGGTAGCAGACATGCATATTAGCATAACCAATGGACACAGACACTGGGGCACTGGGGGCTTGCCTGGGGTGGGAATAGCTGAAGGGGGTGGTCAATTGGGGAAAAAGAAGACATATGTAAAATTTTAGACAACAAAAATAAAATAAATAGAATAAATAATAAATAAAAGACAAGGTAGCAGAAAACACCTAATCAGAGAAGCGAAAAGAAAAAAGAATTTTTAAAATGAGGATAGTTTAAGGGACCTCTGGGACAGCGTTTGCCAACCAATGGTCCGTGGACCACTGGTGGTCTGTGAGGTCCAAAAGGTTGGCAACCGCTGCTCTGGGACAACATAAAGCAGAACATTTGCATCATAGGGGTACCAGAAGGAGAGAGATAGCAAGGGGTTGAGAACCTATTTGAAGAAATAATGATTTATAACTTCCCCAAGCTGGTGAAGGAAAAAGAGATACAAGCCCAGGAAGTACAGCGAGTCCCAAACAAGATGAACCCAAAGAGCCCACACCAAGGCACATTATAATTAAAATGGCAGAGGTTAAAGACCAAGAGAGAATCTTAAAATCAGTAAGAGAAAGACAGTTACTGACAAGTGAGGTCCCATAAGACCAATTTCTCAACAGAAACATTTCAGGCAGAAGAGATCAACACAAGATATTTAAAGTGATAAAGAGCAAGGATCTACAACCAAGACTACTTTACCCAGCAAGGCTGTCTTTCGTCCTAGCTGGTTTGGCTCAGCCGATAGAGTGTCAGCCTGGGGAATGAAGGGTTCCGAGTTCAATTCTGGTCAAGGGCACATGCCTGAGTTGCAGACTTGATCCCCAGTAGGGGGCATGCAGGAGGCAGCCCATCAATGATTCTCTCTCATCATTGATGTTTCTATCTCTTTATCCCTCTCCCTTCCTCTCTGAAATCAATAAACATATATTTTTTAAAAACATATATAGACCCCTATGTTCACTGCAGCATTGTTTACAGTGGCCAAGACGGAAACAACGGAAATGTTCTTTGCCATTGATGGTTGGATAAAGGTGTGATACATGTTTACAATGGAATACTCCTCAGCCACAAGAAAACATGACATACAGCCATTTAGGACAACATGGGTGGATCTTGAGAACATCATGTAAATTAAATAAGTCAGACAGAAAAAGGTAAAAACCATATGATTTCACTCACATGTGGAATATAAAACTGAAAGCAGCAAATGAACAAACAAGAAAAAGAAACAAACCAAAACTCATAGATACAGATAACAGTATGGTGGTTACCAGAGGACAAGGAATGGTGTGGGAGGAAAGGGTAAAGGGGTCAATACAGGTGACAGAAGATGTGACTTTGGGTGATGGGCACACAATGTAAGATACAGATGATGTACCATAGAACTGCACACTGAAAACCTCTATAATCTTATTAACCAATGTCGCCACAATAAATTAAATTTTAGAAAATGAGATATAAATAGCAAAAAAAGGACATACAGAAAGCCAACAGACATATGAAAAGATGCCCAATGTCACTAATCATTAAAGAAATGCAAATTAAAACTACAATGAAATATCACCTCCCACCTGTCAGAATGGCTGTCATCAATACATCAACAAGCAACAAGTTTTGGTGAAGATGTGGAGAAGGGAGAACCCTCATGTGCTGCTGGTGGGAATGCAGACTGGTGCAGCCCTGTGGGAGACAGTATGGAGGTTCCTCAAAAAATTAAAAATGGAACTGCCTTACGACCCAACAATTCCACTTCTGGATGTACATCTGAAGAAACCCAAAACATAATTGGAAAGAATATATGCACCCCTATGTTCATTGCAGCGTATGTACAATAGCCAAGATATGGAAGCAGCCCAAGTGCCCATCAATAGACAAGTGATAACAATATGGTGGTACATAGAGGGTGGGGCAAAAGTAGGTTTACCGTTATGAGTAGGCGAAATACAGAGTTTCTTCTTGTATTATTATTTATTAATTATTGTATTATTTTCCATACTAGAGGTCTGGTGCACAAAATTTGTGCACTTGGGCGGGTCCCTCAGCCCGGCCTCTGCCCTCTCGCAGTCTGGAACCCCTCAGGGGATGACCACCTGCCTGCTTAGGCCTGCTCCCCAGGGGATTGGGCCTAAGCTGGCAGTCAGACATCCCTCTGGCAGCCCAGCAGCCCTCAGGGGATGTCCACTTACCAGTGGGGAGCAGGCCTAAGCTGCAGTCGGACATCCTTACTGCTGCTGAGGAGGTGGGAGAGGCCCCCACCACCACCACTGTACTGACAGCTGTCATCCTAGCTTGTGGCTGCGCAGAGCTCCCCCTGTGGGAGCGCACTGACCACCACGGGGCAGCTCCTGCATTGAGCATCTGCCCCCTGGTGGTCAGTGTGTGTCATCGTGACCAGTCATTCCCAGTTGTTCTGCTGTTAGGGTCAATTTGCATATTACCCTTTTATTATGGAGGAGTGCCTGGCCAGCCTGGGTGAGGGGCCGATGGCTGTTTGCAGCCTGGCCACAGTCCCTTCAGGGTGGGGGTCCCTCCTGTGCCTGGCCGCCAGCCTGGGTGAGGGGCTGATGGCTGTTTGCAGGCTGGCTACGGTCCCCAGCCACCCAGGTTCCCAGTGGAGGCTGGCTGGAAGCAGGTATCTGGGATTTATTTGTCTTCTATAATTGAAACTTTGTTGCCATGAGCGGAGGCCTCAGCTGGCTCAGGGCTGGCAGGAAGCTTGGCTTCATCCATCGCTGGGGCAACCAAGCCTCCTGCTTGCTCCAACTCCGTGGCTGCCAGCCGCAATCTTGGTTGGGTTAATTTGCATATAGTCGCTTTGATTGGCGGGTCAGCATGGCTTACGAAGTAGGGAAGGTGCGGTCAGTTAGCATCTTTGTCTTTTATTAGTGTAGAAGAATAACTATAAACCTACTTTTGCCCCATCCTGTATGTACAATGAAACATTACTGGGTCATAAAAAAAAAGAAATCTTACCATTATGCTAAGTGAAATAAGTCAGTCAGAGAAAGACAAATACCATATGATTTCACCTATATGTGGAATCTAAAGAATAAAACAAACAGACAAACAAACAAAAGAGAAACAGGCTCATAGATACAGGGAACAGACGTATGGTTGCTGGGTGCCGGGGGGTGGGGGTTAGGGGGACTGAGTGGAAAAGGGGAGGTGATTAAAACATACAAATTGGTAGCTATCAAACAGTCACAGGGAATGTGAAGTACAGATTAGGGATTATAGTCAATAATATTGTCATAGCTGTGGATGGTGCCGGGTAGGAATGGAAATATCGGGGGTAAAGACACTTTGTAAAGTATATGATTGTCTAACCACCATGCTGTACGCCTCAAACTAATTCAAAATAATATTGAATAGAAACTGTTATTGAAAAATGTTTTAACAACTAGAGAACAGGTGCCCTGGCGGTGCTTGAACACACAGGTCGCAGCGTGACGACTCACAACAGCCAAAAGGTGGAGACGGTCTGTCATTCAGGAAGGACGACAAAATGCTCCCTCCACCCAGTGGGAGGTGACTCGGCCACAAAAAGCGGTGCAGTTCTGACACAGGTTACAGCACAGCTGGGCCTTGACAACGTCATGCTACGTGAAAGAAGGCAAACATGCGGAAGCCACACGTTGCATGATTCACATTTACATGAAACGTCCAGAACAGGTAAATGCACAGAAGAGGAAAGGAGCTCCGTGGTTGGCAGAGCCTGGGAGGGGCAGTGACCGTCTCATGGAGACCAGGCTTCCTGTGTGAGGATGAGAAGTTCTGGAGATGGTGGTGCTGAGGCTGCACAACATGGTGAATGTGCTGAACGCCACTGAACCGCGCACTGACCAATGTCATGTATAATGTTATGCACATGTTGCCACAAGAAAAAGGTGGAGGATTCCCCCAAATTGCCGAGAATAAAGTGTTGTCAGCAAAGCCACAGCCACAACCCCAGCGGGCTGCCCTGTGTCCACACCCCCAGCAGGGCTCCCAGAGCCTTACCTCCGAGGCTGCTGTAACCCGAACCGGTGACCCAGCACATGTTCCTCTCAGGGACCCTCAGCGAGGCAGGTGCAAGGGGGACCAGGCCGATGAGCTCAGAGAGCGTCACAGGGGCCTCTAGTTTCAGCAGGGCCACGTCCGCGCCCCCCTCTGCAGACAGGCTCTGGTTGAACTTGGGGTGGCGGACGATCTTAGTCACATTTGTCAGTGTGTCATGGTCATAGAGTCTCAGCCGCCCAACTTGAACCCTGAGGCCATAGGCCTCCCAGTCCTCCCTGGGGAGAGGGACCAGGAGCCTCTCAGAGGAGCCTCCGGGGCAGGGCCAGTCTGGGCACAGCAGCAGGGCTGGGGCTGCACTAACTGTGTCTCCCCTGAGACCCCGGGCCCTGCCCACAGCCCCCCTCCCATCAGCCCTCTGTGAGTTTCCCACCCCCACCCCTGCCAGGGCGCCTCGGGCTGTGTGGCTCACCGCTGGGTGCAGTGGGCTGCGGTCAGCACCCACTGCTGGTGGATGAGGGAGCCCCCACAGAGGTGCTGCCACAGCTCCAGCTCCTTATTGTACCTTCGGACGCTGACCTGCCAAGGCCATCTCCCAGCGGGGGCATTGTGCGCCCCCACGGGGCCACCCTGCTGCCTCCCTGAGCCGGGACCTGGGAACACAGGGGACGCCATCAGGGACCCAGCAGGGCCCCTCGCACTCTGTCTCTCCCAGGACGAACCAAGGAGGCCCACCTGAGTTGACGCTGAGGGGCCTGGGCAGCCTGAGCAGAAGATGGGGACAGGGAGTCAGGACTCACCTGGGAACGAGGGCACGGAGCCCCCCAGGCCTGGGAGGCTCAGGAACAGCAGCCACAGCATCTGCGGGGATGGCAGGGGCCTGGGTGAGACAACCAGGGGCCGGGGTCCCTTGTGGGGATGCAGAAGCCGGAGTCTGAGCAGCAGCATCCTCACCTGGAGGGACCCTCCTTGGGACCCTCTCTGCACCCCTTCATCCCCTGGCACAGGAAGGGCAGGCAGGGGCACCTTGGCTGGGCCATGGGCAGAGAGAGCTGCTCCTCTCGCTGGCCCTCCCAGGTCGGGGGTCAGTCAGCAGGCAGCAAGGAGCTGCTGGGCCCTGGCACTGCCTTCTCCGGACCTGCCACCTGCTGTCACTGGGCAGCAGCCATCTCTGGCTGCACGGATCTCAGCCACAAAACACAGCCAGGCCGGCGGCCTGAGCAAGGAGAGCTGCCAAGAGGGTGCAGGTGCTAGAAGAAGCCCCAGAGAGCACTTGGCCCAGGGAGGCAGAGCCCCAGAGCTGCTGCTGGGCCCTCGAGCCACAGGGAAGCCCCTGATTCCACTGGACCCTGTGAGGCAGCGTGGAGCTGGCCACCATCTGACTAGAGCATGCCATCTGCCTGGCACATGGCCTGTGGCCACCCTCACTGCCACCAGCTGAGGCCCTGCACACTGCCCTCTGAAGGGTGCTCTCCAGAAGCTGTACAGAGGTGGGCTTTCATGCGGGTACAAGTCAGGGAGAGGCACCTGGGAGGCAGGTGGATGGAGCAGAGATGGGCAGAGGGCGAGCCTGGAGCAAAGTGCAGGCTGATGACACCTTGACCAGCCCTCAGGGAGAACCAGGATATGGCCCCCACTGGGACACAGTGCCCACCCCCCGCCTCTCCCTGCGCCAGCCAAGAGGGACCTGCCAGGGCGAGGCAGCCAGAGGAACTGCCAGGCCTCCCATCAAGTCCTGCCCTAAAAGGGGACCTGGCCCGCATCTGTGTCCGGCAGCGTCCCCCACCTTCTGTCTCGTGTGTTGAGGAGGCGGCCGCAGGACCACAGAGGACTCCCTGCCCAGGAAACTGGGAAGCAGAAGCTCAGGGTACAACTGAGGCCAACAGGGCCCCTCCACTGTCCACCTGGATCCCACCCTTTGCTACTAACTGGGACTCTGGGACTTACCTGGTAGCACAATCCAGACTCCCATCCCTGAGGGGCTGAGCTCTGGTCACAGGGACTTCTCAGGCCTGGTGGCTGCACGTGTCCACCTGCCATCACATTGACGAGGGGGTAGCAAGGGACACGCAAGGGCCCTCACCTTCCCTGCCCCCCATTGTGACACAGTAGCCTTGCCTCTGCCTGGTGCTCAGTGTCAATGTCCTACCAAGATGGTGGTACCTCTTGCTCCCTGTCCTCCAGACACAAGGAGCTCAATGTACCCAGACACCAGGTGTCACTTACATCTCAGGAATAGTCCTCAGTGCAGGCTGCACAGCCTGCGTTGTCCTGCCCCCAGGGGTCTTGCCAATCACTAATACTTTTAACACCACCGTGTCTGCTGCGTCCTGTGTCGCCAGTGCAGCTGGACCTGCAGCAGAGCCCTGTCCAGCGCTGGGACCACTCGGAGCCGGCAGCCTGTTGTGTGGCCAGCGTCACGGGCTGGAGGGCACTGTGAGGTGGGGAGCACGCTGCTTCCCTGAGAGGGGCAGAGGCCCTCACTGGCCTGTTGTTTTGATGGGGGCCCCTGGGTGCTGGGCCGTGGGGCTCCTAAAGATTTCCTGTGGCCAGGCCCCTGCCTCCTCAGGGGTGCGCTCCCCCTCTTAGGAGCACACAGCCTGGAGGCCTGTAACCTCACCAGTGAGGGAGTCAGTGTGGACCATGCGGTCCCTCAGAACCTGACCTGCTTTAGAAATAAGTGCAGATGCAACTAGTTCAGATGAGGTCAGAGTGGAGCGGGGAGGCCCTAAATCCAATGATGGTGTCCTTGTAGGAAGAGGTGAGGATGCGGAGAGCACAGAGGGGTGAGGAGCACGGGGTGGGGGTCCAGGGGTTCCTCCCCAACCAAGGGTCCCAGCACCACCAGCAGCTGCAGGAGGCAGGAGCCTGGGAAGAGCTGTGGCCCCAGAACAACTTGATTGGGGCCCCTGGCCTCCAGCTGGTAAGAGAATGCATTTGTGTCTTTTTAAGCTCATACTCCCCAGTCGTGGGCTGTCACTGCGACCCCAGGACACCACACAGGAGAGCCTGGTGGTGACTAAGGTGTGATGTCCACCTGGAAGGGCATGGCCCTTCATGGAGTCTCCATTCCAAGCCCTGAAGGTGTCTCTTGTCACCTCAGACAAGGGGAGGAGGCCAATGAGTGTGGGCCCACCCCAGGGTCCCCATGGGCACTGACCTGGCCCTGCAGGGGTCTCTATTGGGGGATAAAGCCCTGCTGGCTCAGTGTCCCCCACCTCTGAAGGCCCAGGCTCAGTCAGAACAGATTTCACAGCCAGAGGCAAAAGGCCCCTCCATCTCCACCCAGGCATCTGGCTCCACTCACCTTGTCTTAGTGCTGAGCCAGGAAGCTGTGCTAGGGTGGTGATTCCAGGTAAGTTTTTTTTAGGCGGGGCGGTGAAGGAGCAACAGCCCTGAGCCCATCCTCTGGAGAGAGAGCCCTGCGGGTCCACCCCGTGTCCATGCCTGCTGACACAGCCCCAGGCCCAGGTATGTCTCACTCCAGCCTTCCCTCCAACACCAAGTCCTAGGTCCTTCTCCCTCCCCTGGGAGCGCTGGCCTCTGAGTCACTCAGACCCTCATTCTTAACCATGGAAACACTAAAGGTCTGACTACACCCTCACCCAGGGAGGAAAGCCCTACAAAGACTCAGAGTCCCCAGAGCCCAATGGCAAGGCAGGCAGCCCACACCTAGCTGGGGGGCACAGGGGGACCTGGATGTGTGTGGACCACCTGGCACCTGCCCACACACAGGCCCCGTGGACAGGCAGTCACTTAGGCAGAACGTGTGCCTGGAACCCGAGGGCGAGGGCACAGGGCCAGGCTGTGCTGTGTCACCCTCTCCTCCCTCCCTGGGCGGAGCAGATCCCCAAGGGGGGCCATCTGCCTGGTGGTGCCTTCCAGCTGAGTCTCGGGCTTCATTTTCCCAGGAAAAGGCTTTCCTGGAGAGCTCCTGGCTGCCAGGAACCCAGACTTCCATCCCGGGCACATGGGGGACGCAGCTCCTGATCCGCCCCCTCCCCCCTGGAGCTTCCACTCTCCCTAACTCAGAGTCCAGGCCTCCCCTAAGGACCGGGTCACAGTGAGAGAGGAGGGCTTTCCACCCTGGCCTCGGGGGAGGGGTCCGGGCACTGAAAGGTCTGGAAGGCCACCACCCCATTGTAGAATCAGACTGGGGACCAGACTGTCGCTGCAGGGTATGGAGCCCCCTCACCCAAAACACAGGCCGCCTCTGGCTCCACAGGCCCTCCTGGGTCCTGGCCCCAACCTGCAGGTGCAGGACCCACCCCAGCCCGGCACCAGCCATGACCCCCAAATCCTACTCCAGCAGGAAGTGCACGTCACTGCCTAGGGCAGGAGGGGCTCCACAGCCCCTTCTCATTCCCTGGATTTGAAACTAAAGATCTCTGTCCACTGGAAGCCCCTCCCACCCCCGGGGAGAAAGGAGGGGCTCTGCGGAGCCTGAGGGGACGGTGCACCGCGGGGCCTCTCCAGCAGGGGCGCCAGCGCCAGGACAGCGGCCTAGGGGGAACTGGGGTCCCCTCTCCACCCTCCTCTCTGGCCGCTTCCAACCAACCAGGACCCGGGAACAGGAAGGTGGGGCGGGGAAGAGGGGTACTGGATGGACCCGGGCCCCTGCAGGTCCGCCCTGCTCGGGAGCTCAGGATGGGAGACTGAGGATCTGCGTGGAAATGAGGCTGCACTTCATTTGGTCCCAGGAGTTGATCACATTGGAAAATGGGGGTTCGACGCGCCTCGGGGTCAGAGGGAGCAGCGGTGACCATGGAAACACAGCACCTCCTGTTTGCATGCGGCCACGTCCAAGTCATTAAAGCCCCCATGACACACTGACTGCCACTGAAGGAGGAAGAGGGACGGTCTGCACCCTCTGGGGCGGCCCTCCGGGCTGTGGCCTCCAGCCCCGGGCAGCAGACTCACCTCCACCCCAGCCA